GGCGTGGGTGCTTTTTTGAACGAGACACCGTTTCGGGGGGGGGGGGGGGGGGGGCTGCAATTGCCGTGGAGAAACCCGTTTACTCCTGCTGCATAGTAAGTGGGCAGAAACAGCAGAAAATAAAACATAAAACGGGCTCTGGCTGAGAGCGAGGGGTTTTCCCGGACTTGGTCTGCTGAAAAACATAATTTTTAGCTGACGTGGCAAACAAGTGTTTTGTGAGATTTACCAAACTGCGGTGCCTTTTAAAATGCTGTTTAGAAGTTACCGTCTCGTTCTGTGTGGGGAATGTGTGAAGAGAGGCAACTGTGAGATCAGTTGATCTGACAGTCAGGCTGGAATCAGATGAAACTTTACTCTCTGAGAGATGGTTTTTTTTATTTCAAAACACACATCATCATCAAAAACACATACATTCCCCCCAAGGAGTCATTTCTTGGGCTGCCTCCTCCGTGGGCCCTACAGCTGGTTGGTCCAGGGCGGGGCTTGCTGACGGCCTTTGGAGAAGCGCTGGGTCGCTGGTGGGTGCGCCGGGAAGGACCGTTTCCTGATAATCAGTCAATGTCCTCCGGTGAGATCCATAAACATTCTCGAGGGATGTCGAGGAATGGCCAAGAATAACGTCTATGAGAATCCAAGAGTCCTGAAATGATGACAAGTTTATTCAGCTGGTTTCATCTGGTTATCAGTTGGAAATTCCTAAGGGAGGGAGTGGTGAGCATCAGATCACATGTTCTCCAGGCGAATTCAGATGAGATGGCCTTCAAGGCCAGCCAAGGAAGCCAAATTCAGATAAACACAGTTGTTTTGGGGACAGGCAGAACTTAATGACATCTACCTTGAATCTGTGTTGGTGGACTCGGTTCCGAAATGTCCAAATTACATGGCCACACCAATGGAACGTGACTGAGTAAAATCCCCAAGATCTGATCCATTCAGCCCAAAGCATTTGAGTCTGGGTACACGAGACACGAACCAAGCCATCATAAAGGTAAGCAGCGTGATCGGGTCCAAATTTGCTGCCGACAACTTCCTTGATCGATTGATAAAACCAGTAACCAGCCGATTATCGTAAATCCAATTAAATATGCATCCTTAAAATCCACAGATGGCAGCAGAGATAGACATCATCAAGTCTTCAAGTCAATGAGATATCCAACTGCGTGCGTGCCAACAGGGCAAATCGGCTCACCTAAAGCCTGTCTTCTCTTGAAGAAATGTTGTAAATAGAGTTGAGGGACCAACTGATCAAAACAAGTCCATAATTATGGTTCGGAAGAAATGCGAGAGAGGCTCAAAAGCAGTTTCACAGACAGACAGAGCAGAAAAGCAAAGCGGAGAGGGAGGGGAGACGCAGTCCTCCTTCGATTGAAAACAATGGATCATCGTGAGGTGCACCCTCCAGATCTACAACAGACCAGGGTTTGAATAAAGGCGAGTGGCTCAGGATAAGCAGAAATAGTTGAGGTTTACAAAACTTTCACTATCAGAATATTTCCTTCCATTGTGCCGTGAAGAATAAGTAAAAGAGAAAATTAAACCAACTGAGGACAAAAAAGTCAGAAAGCAAATAGACATAAAAGAGCTAATTTTTTTTTTTAAATGACCTATTGAAAATAGATCCCAAGGGCTCGTGCTAGTTTATTTTTGTTGCCAGACTTGTACGACGACTCGTCTGTACTTTCACTTTTACATTTACATGTTTACAGCATCCCGATGTGGCAGGAATTAAACCAACATGCTGTGTGAGATATCTGGGTTTTTTCTTCATATTATAAAACAATCAGGCCACTGTCCAGGTAAAGGCTTTGTACTTGTACTTTGTACTTTGGAAAATGTTCATGAAACTATTCTTAGAGCCTGATCAGATCGTCAGGACCCTCAAAGGGATGTTAATGGACCACAGCATGAACGCACCTCGGAGGACTGGTTCTCTTAGCTGAGCTCTTTAGAGATTCTTTGAGGAAATATTTTCTTAATGGAAGAATGTTCTGTTCCTTTCTTTGATCTAATTCTGGACAAAGCCCAACAATACCTAGAAGAATGGGACCATTTAGATGCCAACTTCAGATTGATTACTGAGAATTAGTAAGCGTGAAAGGAGGGAGACATTTTTGTTCCCAGACTAAAGATGTATTCATTTAATCTCTGTAAATGTTTAACCCAAACTTCTATTTCTGGAGTCAAAACAAGCAGAGTGCTAATCACAGTTTGAAGAAGATTTTGTATCAACGTGGTGATTTATGAGATGAAGGGCTCAGCCAAAGACCAGCTCATTGTGTTGTTGGGTAAAATCTGGATATTTATTATCATGTTGATTGGTAACTACAGATTCACATGAGTGTCCGCTCATCACAAACTTTAAACACGTTGGTCATCAGCCTCAGGTGAACCTCGATAAAAGCAGTTTGTGGGATTTAAAAAATAATAATTTCACTGTTGCAAGGCAGAGATTTGTCTGCAGCCACTGTGTTAAGTCTAAAATAGGTTAACCTTTGACACTGGATCAGTAAAACATGTTTTAGTCCAAGTGTTGCTAAAAAATAAGAAAAACAACCAAGAGAAGGACAAAGTGGTGTTTTTGGCAAGCTGACATTAGTTTGGGCTGCTCCGTTTATTTTACTGTTTTGATTTTCTTTGTTCAAAGTTTCTGCTGACAACGTTAGAAATTCATCCCGTCTTACTGACATTTTACAAGGTAAATGGACTGTACCTATACAGCTCCTTTCTCTCTAATCAAGAAACTCAAAGCTCTTTACAGCACAACCTGTGCCCTCATTTAACTCCACACACACGTACACAACATCTGCTACACACACACATTCATACAGCACTCTGCTACATTTTCTACAAAGATACTCTGAATCTTTAGACTACAAGCATGTCTTAAAGACATAAAAACCTGGATGACCCTTAATTTTCTCCTGTTGAACAGACAAGACTGAGGTTTTGGTTTTTGGACCTGAGCACCTTAGGAATGAATGTTTCAGTCTTTCTCCCTCCTTAGATGCATTAATCTGTCCTCCTGCTCTACTGTTAAAAATCTTGGTGTTATTTTTGATCAGGACACGTCTTTTATCCCCCACATTAAAAACGTTACTAGAACCTCCTTCTTCC